AAGTTAAAAAAAATCTAGTAAATTATCTCAAGAAAAAGAAAAATTTTGAAAAGTCAAAGATCAGGTTCGATCCTGAACATACTGAAAATTTGGTAACAGGGTACTTAGAAATACTATACAATGGTACCCAATTCAGTACTTGATCAGTACCTTTAGGTACCCAATTACTGTGCATTTTCCAGCAGGGTACTTGCCAAAGTACCACTTAGGTACCTATAAGTACCTGCAAGTACTTTGGTACCCAAAAGTTCCTGTGACATACTGGTATCAGGGTACTTTTTTGGGTACCCTTAACTCAGTATATTCTCTAGGGTGGTCAATTACTAATTACTATTCATAATACAAATAGTCAAATTCCTCGAATTATTTGGAGTAGTGCAAATTTATCATTATTATAGTCATATATTAAACGTCATTGTGGAATGTATTGAAAAATCCGATCTTTTATCATGAGATAATGAAGAAATAAAAATTACTCATTTAAAACATTCAGATGGTAATGAAATGTTGTTCATTGAGAGAAATAACTCAAGCTTATAGAATTTTACACGAATGTTTTAAAACTTTAACTTATCAGCATTTACAATTAATAAAAAAAGTAGTCAAACGTTCAAATGTTATTCATACGATGAAAAACGCTGATCTTTATTCTCAGCATGATCGGCATCGTTTTCAAGAATTACGAGACAATATAACGACACAATTTCAATTACAAGAATTAAATAACGTGATAATAAATTCATGGATTATAACACATACATTAATTGAATCATTTATGTTTCAAGGAAAACTTTCGATGATTTTGTTCTTCGTATTGCACAATTAACGAAGTTAGAAGGAAGTTCACTGAATCATATCCGAAGTAAGCTTCAGTTATAAGTAGAAGTCTAAGTAGATACTTTAATCGATGTCTGAAGTCATTTTATGATCTTGTTGAAAATTCTCTCACTTTTGGGAAATTTTATAATAGAAAAGATAACAATAGTACTAGAGAAAAACTAGTGCACTTTGCAATGTTTCGAACAATTTGAGAACGATATCATCTTGAGACCTGCGATATTCGTCATTCAATAGGGAAGATCCAGAGCCATCAAATTCCGTCGAAATTTCAATAGTCAATGATTTATCAATCAGATTATTTCTTGACCGAGATTTTCAAAAACGGTATTCTAAAGTTATTTTCTTTTAGATTCAGACTTTTAAAATTAATATTCGATAGGAAATATTCGCCTCTTTTCATCAATGCCAACGCGGCATTCCTAGCAACCTTCATTCGAGAATTATAAGAATTTTCTGAAATTCTTCGAACTCAGTTATCTCATCTGTGATCACACGAAAAAACAGAAATATTGAGATAGCAGTATTCGATTAAATCGAACCTACAATTAAATTTTACTATTCGACTGAGCTTGTTGAATTACCGAGTCTAGCCGTTTTTCAGAATGATCACGGATCAAATGACTGAAATCGAGGTATTCAAAAAGGATACATTAGAAGAACCCGAAAAATTGATTCTAGGTATCTGATAGATTTATGTGGCGATCGGTAACTTACATCATTGGTTGTAAGATATCAATTCATGAAATAAATCTTATAATTCAAAAGAGACTTCTAGAAGCCACTGTGATCCACATTTCTTTCTGATTATCAATTTTAATGCATAAAAACTTGAAAATATCAATGAAATCATTTTTTTTTTCTAGTAATTAATGATAATATGCAACTTGTAACAATGTGATTAGCAGCAGAAGAAACGACAGTATTAGACAATGCTTTGATTACTATGGAACATTTATTTAAAAATGAAATTGTTAATTTTCATTTATGATGTTTAACAAGACAACAATCATATTATGGAATTGGTTATTCAATTGATAGTATTCAAGTTGGAATAAAAAAAGTAAGAAATGAAAATGACCCGAATCAGCAAGGTAAAGAGAACGATAGAATTGAAGCGAAAAAAAACGTCAATTACCATTTTGAAATGTTGATATTCAACAATATTTAATCTATAAAAACCTATTTTATTAATGGACTGTTGAAATAATTAAAAACGGTGGAGAATATCTATCATATGTTTACTAGGTTACAATTAGGTGAACATCCTGATTATCAATCACGAGATACACATAACGAACTACATCTTCAAGAAAGTAAGAGCATATTTTCAGATCAATAATAAAATTTCTTTTTGAAATTTCTTTTCAGTTCAACCTGGATCTATTATGTTAAACGATTTACGAAGTCATCAAAATGCTTGACTAAAAAATGCTATTCAGAATCGAATTCAAAGTTTAGAATTAATATATAAACTTTGAAAACTACGTATGATATATAGATACAAAATTTAAAGAAATATCGCCAAGAATGCTCATTATTGAAATTATGATTCTATACTCTTCTTCAACGTTATCAAAAATAATTTTTGATCAGTATTAATCGTCTTCCACTGATCCCAAAATCAAATATCTTTTGCACATGATATCGATCTCGATACCTGTTGTATTGTTGTGAACATATTTCGAAATCAATTACCAGCTTCCTATCAGATTCTTTGGTGTTCGAATACCACAGAAGAAAATATTCATTTATTTTTTTCTCGTATACGAACATTTACTTCTCTGACTTTTTCGCTTCAAGTAAAACTCGTCATTTCAACAAAGAATATAAGACTGATCCTACCGGATCTTTTAGTATAAATGATAAATTAAGTCTTTCATTTAATTCGAATATAATTGACAAGAATCCATCGATCTTTCTCAATATATCCGTTTATGCACCATTCGAAACTTTATAATCGAACATTGTTTCCCCTTTTCATTGGTGGATGTTCAAACGATCCAACCGTCAGTGTTCGAGAATGTTTCAATCAAATTTTGTCAATTCTTTTCATTGTTTCTCCATCAACATTAGAAGAAGCCATTAACAAGAATTATCAATTATCTATTAATAAAGAAGACCAACTTGTAGCTTGATTTTGAAAAACATTTAAAGATCAAACAATTGATCGTATGATTACAATGACAAAGACTGGTCATAAGATACCTGTTAGTTTTGAACCAATAACGAATACTGATGCATGTCGTATATAAATATATATATAATTGTATTCAAAAATATACTCGAGAATTACCAAGAAATAAAATCTATGAACTTTCATTTACAAAATTTTTATATCCTGATATACGTTTCTTTGAAGAACCTTACTTCTGTTGCAATCAGCATGTTCAAAATTTAGGTACTATTGCTATGCAACAAAGGATTAATAAAGCAAAATCTTTAACACAAATATAAACTTTTTGCATGTATATGAACGAAAATTAATAAAATTAGCTTTAATTATTGAAAATGATGCTGTTGTGAAGGAAAAACATTTCTTTTGAAACTCTATTCATTATACGTGGTACATGCATTTTGAAAAATATCTTCATTACTGTTGCTACTAATCCATTTATGAAAATAGAAGAAAATACAGAACAAGTTCATTGTACTGATCATATTGTTCGAAAAATAGCCATGTTTCAAGTTAATTCATTAGCTAAAAGTGATACAACGACGCCATTAGAAATTTATGTTCAAGACACAAATATTAGCTGATTCAATTTTGAAAGTGCAAGAATTTTGTGAAAAAAAATCTTGGTATTGTTTTAAGAAATTTATAAGATGTATTTTGTATTTTTATTTGATTAAAAAGCTTATTTTCCTAATCCTATTCGATGTATTGCTTTATCAATTGCTTTAACCTATTATTTTCGACTTCCAACAAAAGAAGATAATTTACAAGGTAATGATAAAAAATTACCAGCACGAGAACAATTAACTAAACTTGTTGGTCAAGCTATGCCACACTTTGATTATATCGTTCAAAATGAACTCGAACGATTCGTGAATACTGATAATATTGTTATTCCACAAGGAATAGCAATGAATCAAGCTGTATACATTCAATGTCTTTATATTTTCATTTAATAATCGATTCTATTTTAGGTTCGTGAACATATTTTTTTTTTTATTGTTGTCAGTATTATCACATGAGCAACTTTATGTATCATTGATGTTCCTGAAAAATAATTTATTCTGATCTAACTTGAATCAATCTATATTTTTTCTTTGTAATAGATCAGTCTAAAACATTATCTTTTCAAATCGTTCTTCAAAATCTTTAAGGTGCACAATTATTAGCAAAACCATTGTGTAAACGTTAAAAATGATTAATCAATCTTATTCTATTTTTGTTTATTGAACTTTCAATTTAGTTCGTTTTCTTGGATGAAGCCTCATTACCGAATGAAAAGAAAATGGTTTTAAAAGTTTTACATCCTTATTTAGATGAACGTAAAGTAGCATGGTTAATGCAAATCGAATAATGTGTATTTATCGTTCGTTACCATCTGACGATAATCAGAAAATCTTAGCTTATGGTTATTTGGGTTGGCAATCAGAGCAACGACAATCATCTCCAGATGATCGTCTTGGTAAGATTATTTATAGTTTATGTCAAGGATACTAACGAGTTCTTCGTTCATCAGATATACGTCATATATTTAATGATCATGATTGTATTTATCTGTTGAAAGAATAACGATTTGAGTTGATGAATTTAAATGCAGTTGAACAAATTAGTATCGGAGAAATAACACAACGAAGTTTATTACGAATGTAGATGATAATTTTACTGGAGTTTGAATCGAAGAGTTCGATAAATTAGTCAATATTTTTGCTACAGCTGTTGGAGGACTGTTCACATAATACATCATCATTTGTTCTTGATTTTTTTTACCTTTCTCTTCAATTCATAGACATTCAATGAATCCGAACTCCAGCTCGGAAACTACACAACAACTGCAGGTCGCAACGAATATTCAAATTGCTATTCAAGCACTTCTTGAAAAATATAAGGAATTATGGAAGTAATCGTAGTTTCGATAAATTTGGTTCAGACTTACATATTTCTAAAAATCATGAACCTATTTTGAGGAACTTACTTCCTTTTAGATTTTTGGACCCCGCACTCTATTGTCAGTACACCTTTTACGATCGAACGTGAAAACTTTGTGAGGGAGAAGTTCACCACTCACACCCTATGTGAACAGATACCTGGAGAATAATGTCTTGAATTTCGATCACTAATTACCGAAAAAAAACAGTTTTAACGTAATATTCCAACAACTTTACGTAATTCAATGAAATTAGGTCTAATTCGTCGTCATCTTTAAAAAGTGCTGTACGTCTTTCCTTCCAATGTAGCATTCTCAGTTCTGATACAAGTCAAACAACAGTTTTTCGTATATCAGGCAAAACTATCTTAATGATTAATACAGATCGTATCCATGATTCACTCTATGATGGTTTTAATCAGAATTATTTTCAATTATGGCTATTGAAGAAAATAGAAAAATATTTTTCAAAGTAGCAATATGTGCAAAAATAATCATTGTCGTCGTACATGAAGAGTTTCAATGCATTATTTGTATAAAACGAAGTGAATTTAAAGATATTCCAGCACTATTTCTAAGTCGTCTACAAAAATATTCTTTTAGTATATCAGATTTTTATTCAATACAATTGCGAGAAATTCAGATTGAAGAACATGAATTCCTGCGAAATATAGAAACAAAAGCTAGATCATTTATTGATTACTTTGGAAAAGAATATTTCTATGGATTTAATAATGAAACATTATATTCTTATCCTCTATCTTTTATTAAAAGAAATACTCAAGACGAACCTTATTTATCAAATATTCATGAAAATTACAATCAATTAACAATGCAATCGAAACCGTTCATCGAATAAGATATAAATGATAAAAACAACTATTTTCTTTTTATATTATATCAAAACTTTTATAACTAGTTTTACCTGAATCAATGATAATTACCAACTTTCAAAGAAAGTACTACTTGATCATTATGTCAATATTATTTTTATCA